AGTGCATCTAGGGATATCAATGGACCAAAGTGAGGGCGCGGAGGTATAGTCTTCATCCCCGGCCCACCCTCGTTTAAAAAACCTTCATCCATCCCCGGTCCACCCCCATTAACAAATATAATTTTCATCCCCATTCCCGTTCGCGGGTAAATTTATAATCCCTGTCCCTGTCCCCGCTTTTTCCGTACCCGTCTATGTCCAAGCTCAAGTTTAAGCCTAAGTCCAAGTTCAAGTCAATATAATCCAAAATTCTAAATAAATTCAACATTTTTAATAATTCAATAATATTCTAAATAATCTAACACAACATAATGTAACATAACATATTTGAATATAACACAAACAACAAATGTCCAAAATATTACTTAAATTTGATATAATTCAACATTACACAACATAACACAAATAATATAATGAGTGGTAGAATCATCTCAATCAATTCAATTATCTCTTAACACCAGCTTCACACCAACTCAGAATTAGAAAAGGAATGCTTATCACAGATAACAAACAAATATTTTAACACTAGCAATTTTTTCAACATATGTAAAGTCATAAGAATTAGTTGTTTTAAGGGTAACAGAAAATCATAGTATGCTGAAGAAGGTCAGCCATGACAATTATCCAACAAAGATTGCATGGGAGTTGGGATTAGTAGGATAAACAAATAATGCAACAATCTTGCACAATTAATAATACTCTCAAAGTCAAAGCAACAACAAGACCAAGAAACATAACTCAGAAGCACAGTAACAAGTATATATATATATATTTAACTGGTAATGGGGATGGGGTGGGGGTAAGGATAAGTCCATCCCCGCACGAATTTGTATGGGTATTCTCGTGTATGTCTATAATCCAATACGTATAGTCTATCCCGGGCTTAAGCGGGACGGGTTTGGACGAATACTCGTTTTTCTTCGGTCCACTGCCATCTCTAAGTGCATCTACTATAACATCAAGTGGAATTTTTTTTATTTTTTTTAAATTGCTGCATTGAAGGAGGGATCAATAATATAAGCTTGCATAGAGGGGATTCAAATCCATAATTTTCGTTGCCCTTGAAGTCATTGATAGTATTAATTAACTGTATAAATTTAACCAGTTTTGATATACATGAATTTATGTATATTTTTTTTACTACTGCGGGTCTATATCAGCATGATGTTCACTATTTTCTTTCAAATCAAACATCAAACTACTCCGCAACTTTTTCCTTTTTAAAATAGGGTAGGAGATAGATGATGGATCAATGATAATTCAACAGATAGTGGAATGCTTGAATATAAAATTCCAATAAAGATTAGAACCAAAAAAAAGTACATCATGAGCAGAAAAAGCACCTCACGATCATGACATAAACTTTATTTATTTATTTTAAAAAAAAATTCTTTGAATAACTCGATATTTTTGAGATACTTTGAAGATTATGTCATTATGGGAGGAGTGTGACTAGTGCACAAAAAAAGAGTGTGAGAACAAATTGGATAGGGATTACTGACTTTTAGAAATCAATAAAAGTTCATGCTAGTTTTGTCGGGTGTTAAGTTTGTATATATATATATATATTTTGCTAAACATGCACAAAATCAAACACACAATGAGTCCCAACTTACACGGCAAAGGTGCAACTGAATAGAGATAAGGAGTATCATTTAGAATCCACTAATTCACAACATTCAGACAATTACTGACTGGACGAGGGACCAATGGCCATTAAATACTCACTCACCCCCGTTGCGATGCTTGATGTGGGATTGATTTTTTGCTAAACATACACAAGATCAAACACACAATAAGTCCCAACTTACGCGGCAAATGAGCAGCTGAATAGAGGCAAGTGTTAACTTTGTATATACTCATCATTTGTCTGAAACAAGTTTTAGCTGTTAACCTGTAAACAGAAAGAAGAACAAAACAATGCAGCAACCTCTATTGCTACATGGGACACTGGAAGTACTGTATAATGTATCAAGTTTTACCATCATTATTCCACACCAATCGCTATTGTCCTAAACGTCTAAATCCAATTACCATCATTCAATACTAACAGAAAAAAATTGTACTATTTATAGAGCTAGCCAGCCAGAACAGCTTTGGCAATCAGCATCATTCAACACTAAGCCAGCAGAATAGCTTTGGTCATAGCCCTTCTTGTATATAAGTCATAATATTTGTATCGTATGTCAATTTGTCTTCATGTACTGCATTGATTATGCATAAAGCAGACCTCCTTTTTTTTTTTTTGGGGGGGGGGGGAGGGGTCCATTTTCCCATTTTAAGTTCATGTATATATGCCTTTTTTAGCGGATAGAGATCTCAAGAAAGCATGATTTTGATGATTATAATATATAAGATGCTCTAATATTTAACCGATTATAATTCCGAGTAAAATGTCCTTGACTTTTCAAGTAACCGATTGTAATCACCGATTGATTTGTAAATTTTTTCTGGTGATAATCTATGAAATTTTTTTTAAGATATTGTTTCTTTAAGATAGTACAGTTGTTTTAACGTGATTTGAATATTACGGATTTGAGTTATAAAATATTTTCTAGAATATGACTATGTATATTCTCTAGACTTCGCAAGCGTCATCAACTGAGAATGAAAAACTTTTGATAATAATTTCTTAATATTTTTGTTATTAACATTTATATGAGTTAATGGCTGTCATTGTAAATAATATCTGCACCAAATACTCATATCGATCGTGAAATATACTAATAATAAAACTACATGTTTTCCTTGACTTTTGTTAAGTTGTGATATGGACTATGTGGGGGCTATGTGAGCATGATATTCATGATTTGCTTTAAAATTAGACAATCAAATGAATAGGCAACTTTGTTCTTTTAAAGTTTGGACAGGAGATAGATGATGGAACAATTAAAATAAAATAAAATGATGGAATAGGATTATGATGAATAATAAATATTAGGAAAGATAGACTATTGTAGCTTTTTAGTTTAAAAAAATGGAAAAACTCGGTACTTTTTAATGTTAAATAACTCTAAGGTCTATCTAATAGAGCTTAAATTAAAGCATCTTAAGCCAAAATTGTGACAAATCAAACAAGATTAGGAAAAGAACATCATATGATCATGACATAAAGGTTTCTTTTTTCTCATATATTAATATAAAGAACCCGATACTTGAAAGATCATGTTATCTATCGCACACAAAAGATACTAATTATGATGGTAATGTAATTGGTAATGATAGGGTTCTGGTGTGGGCTGCCCTTGTCCATCAAGAACCCAAAAGTATCCGGTGGGCCAAATAGTTACATGATAGCACAAGTTACCCTCAGCAATTCATCTGCTCCGTAATAGGAATGCGTTGTAATCCAAAGAAGGGAGTCCAATAGAGCCAAGGTTGGCACAATTTTGCTCGGTCATGATAAGCTCAGTAATAAGCAGTTTGGAAGAAAGGAGTTCGATATTCACCGAATCTAGAACACCTTCCATCATGCCATGTGTCCAGGGGACAGCTTCTGGAGTCACACTCAGTGGAAAATGGAATATTTGTATACATTCCATCGAAGGATTGTGGCGATGATTTTTGTCAGAATAATGGTCACCACTACAAGATCAAAAAGAGAGGACCACAGAATCAACCGAGAGAATAAAAAGATCGCCAAAAAACCTTAGATGACTACTTGTAAATATAAAACCCTCACACTGTAAAAGAGGGAGATATGAGAGAAAAACTTGTACTCAGAAGACATTGTTCACACTAGCTCTAAGTTAAAGAAGTCGATTGTAATCTTTTTTTTTAAACAATACAAATCTTACGAATTAAGAACCTCCATTACAATGGACATAGTTCTAGTCTTTCAGTTAGAGTGAACCATATACGTATTGTCTTTGATCTCATTTCTTCATACCTTTTCTCTGTTAGCTTAGAGTATTCACACCACCCCCCTCTATCTCATTAAACGTTGTTTTGAACTTGGGTTGTGCATTTTCGAGCACTATTAGTAATTATCAACAATGCCTTAACTCATTTATGGAATCTTTTAAAAAAAAAAGGAAAACTGGTTTTTAAGATATAAATCACAATGGAAATTAAGAGGTGGGGCCCTAAATGTCTAAGATTAGAGAAATAAGAAATGAAAAATTCTCAAAGAAATACACTTCTAAACAGCATTAAGGCCAACAGAATCTAGCTTAGTCTAATTGGTCATTCTCGATCCTGTAAAGATTTTGTTCATTGAGAACTCAAGGAGTTAACCTTTGTCAAGATAAAACTTGATTTTTTATCTCTCTTTTTTTTAGCTGTTCTGTTGTAATATCTATTGAGTTATCAAATGAGAGGTGAAACTTTTCTTGTTTACAATCTTCCATCCATACCTCCTTCAATTAAGGAGGTGACTCTCAACTTGTGTTGATTACCTCACTTGAAATAGTTTGTTCTCAACTTGGAGTCACATTTTCAGCTGTTTAAAGAGTTCCATTTGCAAGAGAAAAAACCAGAAATAACTAGGTGTATTTTCCAGAAACAGTTTATACATATTATAACCGTTCAATAATAAGATAAAAATTAGGCAAGTGAATTTCATATAATTAAATAATTATTCATCCATGTCATAACTATCCATGTGTAATCTACTTGGTCACATATTATCTTATTATTGAATGATTATACCGTCTATTTTTTCGTTTGTCAGGAAAAAAATCGGTTCGGAGGGGTCCAAAAAACATACTGATTTTTCACCCATACAATCAACATACTGTATGTTTAGCACAGAAAAAAAAAACATCAGTCGAATTGGATAGGTGGTACTGATTTTTGAGAAAGAAGAAGAAACCACGTAGCAGTAGTAACCATCTCTGTGTTTACATAAATACACCGGACTGACGTCAGTACCCATTTTGAACTTTTAGCTAGGCGTGGGAGGACAAGGGTCCCCTGTCGTAGTAAAGGGTTGTTCTTCCCTTAAAGGACGCCGTTTAAAATTTATTAAATGAATCAGAAATTTCATTGACAGAAAACCGATGGGCTGCAGTCTGGTTTCACGACAGCAACGACGAAATGCTAGCCATTGCACACAGACACTTGGAAAAGGACCAGCAAATCAAGAGGCCAGGAAGAAAACCAGAGGGAATAACACCTCTAGGTAAGGCCGTTAGTCGAACCATCAAATTCGTGTCGAATTTTAAAATTTTGTTTTTAAATTAAATTTTAAAAATTATTTAAATTCGACTCATTTAAAAAACGAGACCAAAATAAACCCGAGCCCGAACTAAGTCCAAGTTTTAATATTTGTACATAAAAAGGTCAGCTTATTGAGCATGTTTTCTAAATAAACTTAAAAATTTATTTAAGTTCGGACTCATTTAAAAAATGAATAGAGCCTGAACTAGGGGTGCAACTCATGCGGGTTGAGAGGTCAACCCTATCCCAACTCTAGGTATATAATCTTCAACTCTAGCCCTAATCCTAATCCTACCTCAACTCGAGTACTGTCTGAATTTAATTCGAACGGATTCGAGTTTAATTCGGGCGAACTCGGGTTACTCAATTCGGGCTATTTTCGGGTTAAAAGTTGGGTTATTTACTTCGAGTTGATAAAAGAGAAAGGAGTGACGAGTGAGAGAGGGAGACAGAGAGTCTGAGACGAGACTCAAACGAGAGAGAGAGAGAAAGAGACTGAGAGTCTAAGACAAGATGAGAGACGAGTGATAAGCGAGAGAGGAATCTGAGGGTGATGGAGGCGCAAGGGTAAAAACTTGAAGTGAAATGAAAGTCTGAATTTTAAAAAGTGAAGATAAATATTAATTCTAGTTAAATATTTTTATATATATTCGGGTTCAACCTGATTTAATATTTAGGTTGAACCTGATAACTTGAGACTTCAACCCGTTATTTAGTCAAATTCAATTCGGATTGAATTTTTTAGCTCAAGCCCAACCTAAATATTAAAAATTCTAACCTAAATTCTTTTTTTCAGATTAGAGTAGGTTGAATTCGGGTTAACTCGCTCAAATTATACCCCAGACTTGAACGAGTCAAACCCGTGTCGAACCTGAGCCAAGCTTTAGTTACCGAATTCGATTAACGGTCCTACCTTCAGGTGATACAATATATTGGTATTAAATTCATATAAATGGTAATCTCAAATGATTTACACTCGAATTTTGTTGGTGATTAGATTTGGACAAGAACTCAGGAACAAAATTAAAAACTAGAGAGAATATATAAGAGTGGTAATTGTCTTTGTTCAAGCCATGCTAGTTTTTTTGAAAATTAAGTCATGTTAATTAAGGTTGGTGTCGAGCACTAGTCAATTTTAATTTATTCTATTTAATCAATCTTGACAAATGTTTTTTGATATTATCTTGACTTATTTATTATCGTATGATGCTTGAGTTAACTGGATTAAAAATCTAAAATTAAATAATGCATTTATTCGTAAAATACTACTTGCAAGAAAAAATAAAAACTCCAAATGATACTGGGTCTGATTTGTGGGACCCTAATAACCGACCAAAAAATATAAGATTAGAAGGCGGTGGTGAAGTGGAAGAATTTGAATCAATTGACCATTCTCTCACCAGCCCAACTAACCACGGTTAGTGTTAATGCCGTTAAACTATTGGCTATAGTTTTATTTTTTTTCTGACGGAAAAGCCGATGTAAGAGGAACCGTCGGCAGCAGCGAGCCACGTGGTATGACCAGGCTTTGCCAAATGGTGAAGAGGTGCTCTGAGAAACAACCACGTGGATTTAAATATTTAATAATAGATTTTATTTGGCTATTGTTTACATGTCCTTATTAAAATGTTGTTGGGATCTTAACAGCCAGCTGTGACTTCTGTTTGTTTCCGTTTTCCTGGTACGGTCGGTTACGGTTACAACCGGGTAGTCAGTCAATCGAATGGAAAGGTCAGAATTCCAATATGGCAACATAATAAAGTTCCAAGAGAGTAATGGGGATGAAAAGGTTTTAGTTTGTGGGCTATAATTAAGCACTAAAAGAAGGAAATTAGATTAGTTATGTTAATTTTCAATTGAGATTAATGAATTATTTACCCGTCACTTTTATAGATAAAGATAAAGATGATGTAATTGAGTAACTATTTAAAAAAAAAATTAATTAAGATTTGAGATTAAATTAGATGAGATTTTTTATATTCGATGAGATCATTACAATAACATCAATAAATAATTAAATAAAATTTAAATCAAATTCAAAATTTTCATACTCTATTCAAATGTAATCTATTATTTTTTAACTAGGTAATTTAATTTGTTGAAATAATTAATATTTGATGGGTTGTGTAATTGTGGGCATGTGTGCATAAGTGAGGCACAGGAATATTTAGGTTTTTCTGGTGATAGTTTGTTTAGTAGCATGAATAGAAAAATAGAAGAATAAAAAGTATGAATAATACACGTTCTTTATTTTTGAAGGAAGGAGCCCTTCATTCTCTTCTTTATGTTTGGTAAGAAAGATAAAAATTAAGAATGATTAATTTTTTGTATTTAATAAGATGAAAAAAATATTTTTATCTTTTATATTTTATTTTAGAAAAAAATATAAATACATATTTTACCATCATATCTATATAATGAAGTATAATGCAATTCAAATCTCAAAATATAAATAAAATGACTTTTGTTTTTTACAGTTGATATCTTTTTAAATTTTACTTTAAAATTAATTTGACTACTAATATTAATATCTCAAATTTAATAGGAAATATGCCACTAAGGATGTATTTGGCGTAATTTTTTAAAAGTACTTTGTAATTTTTTATAACTACTTTAAAAAAAAATAGTATTTGGAACCGTTCCACCATCGCCGCCAACCCAACACCACAATTACCCCCACCACCATCACCATCCCCATCCCCACCACCACCGTCGTTGCCACCATCCCATCACTATCTTTGCCACAACAACCACCACCATCAACTCTACCATCGTCCCACCACCACCACCACTATTGTTGCCACCCTATTACCACCGCTACTGTCTTACCATTACCCCTACCACCACCACCCCCACCACCATCGTCACTCCACCACCACCACCACCATTGTCGTCACTCACCACTATCGCCATCTATTGTCATCCACACCTACCACCATCATTGTCACCACCACTATCAATCACACCTCTCATATATGAATACAAATATATTTATTATTGACATTTTTTTTATTACTTTATGCTTTTAAATAAAGGTAATAACTAGTATGTATATATCAAAAGATATATAAACAAAAAACATACATTTTATACATAATTATTTTTTTATCTATTTTTCCTCCCAAATTTAGAGGAATTAATTTTTGTGTGTTAGAAGGAAAACTCATTCATTGACTTGTCCATCATTCTTATTTTCATTCCTTATTAACTATGATATTTTATTTATTTTTCTAATTTTTCATCATTCTATTTTTTTATCGTATCAAACGAAACATAAATCTTTTTAGGAGATATTGTTCTTGGACCATGCATTCCTTTTAATATATATATTTTTTTGACAAATTATTTATTATTAATGAGTGAAAGATTCATTTAGATACAATAAATTGCATTTTAAATATTAATTTATAAGCATATAATCGAGAATATTGCCTCGTATTATGGCAGGCAGATTTTCCATCTAAAATAGATAATTACAATAATTAGCTATTACCAAAGTCGTCAAAGTTAGCTAAATTTACAGTGCTACGTCGGCCAACGGAGAAGAAAAAAATAAAAAAGACGACATCGGTAAAACGTTTCCGTTTCAATGGAGCCCACAGGGCCTGTGTGGACTCCCAGAGAGTTCCTTTCGATCGGGGTCCACCCCCCAACAGCCCCGGTTCTCACGCACTCTCCCCATTATAAGTACCACACCACCACTCGTCCTCTCTCGCTCTTTACCGAAGCTCAAAATAACTCTCGTTTCCGTTTCCGTTTCCGTTTCCGTTTCCGTTTCCGTTTCCGTTTTCTCTTTCTACATAATATCCACTTTCCGTTTCATATCACAAGCCATCTCTCTCTCTCTCTGAAGATTCTTGTCCCACCGGGCGAAGTTTTTCCGTCTTTTCCCCGAGAAAACCATCTATCGCCGACACTTGGCCTCTGTTCTACTAGTTTTTGTTGATCTCCTGTTTGGGAGGTGTTTGATTCGACGCAAATCTATCTGACGTATACCTTTTCCAAGTCCTTTGTGTGCAGTTTTTGTGGGTAATCTCCCATAACTTGTTTGCGTTATGCATTTTTTGATTCAACCCATTGGTTTCTCTCTCGTTTTTTTTTTCTTTTGGCTTCTAGCTTAGGTTTTTCTGGTTATTTTTTCAATTTTCTTGTGTGTTATTTCCTTTTGGTTCGTTATAGTTCTGAAATTGAACACCTATCTACTACCATGTATGCATCCATGTGTATATCCCTATTTTATATATATATATATATATATATATATATATATATATATATATATATATATATATATATATATATATATCTGTGTGTGTGTGTGTGTGCGCGTTTGCTTGTATATTCTGTTCATTTTTGTGACTTGGTCTCATTGTCCAGTCAACTTTTTGTCAGACCGATTAGAAAGTGATACCTAGCTGTTCAATTGAGTTTGAGCTTTTGAAGTCTTATCTTTTAGCAACCAAAGTTTTGTTTTTTGGGGATAAACCTTTGGAAATCGTTTTGATTTGTTTTTTTCGAATCAACTTCTGTGTATTCTTGTCGGTTGGACCATCATTTACGGCCTTTATTAACCACAGGTACTCAAATCAAGTGTAGTTTTTCATTTGCTGATTAGATAAAAGCTTTGAATTGTAGGAGAATGGCTCAATTTCAGAACCACGAACTAGAATACATAGTTGATGACTATTATGACACTACCGATTTCGATGATAACCCTTTCGAAGAAGATGAATTGCCACGAAGCGGTGGTGTTGATGACTCTTTGGATTCAGACTTTGAGGACGACTTGGAACTGGTAATTTCGATACTATGTAGTAGTTGCTGTAATCGATACTATTTTATGGCTTTAGAATCTTCAGTATCTGTGAATGAAAAATGGGATTTATAATATCTGCGGGGTGACCTTTTTGATTTTTGTTGATTAATAGAGCAAGCCAAAGACTGATACATCGGCTCAGGAAGCTAGAAATGGCAAAGACATTCAAGGTATTCCATGGGAGAGGCTCAATTTTACCAGAGACAAATATCGTGAATCAAGGCTGAAGCAGTACAAAAATTATGAGAATCTCTCGTGCTCTCGTGAAGAACTTGAAAAGGTTTGCAATTATGTCTGCCCCACAATTTTGGAGTGAGATTCATTACATCTTGTTTAATCCTATAAAGGGTAGCACGTGGTTTCAAATTTAGGCTAATCTTCTGTGTCTTTGCACTATGTTTTAACAAATATATGCAATTATGAGAAAGAAATGAGAACAGAAAGAGAGGGAAAAGAAGGGGGGGGGGAGTTTCTCTTTACCTTTGCTTTGATTATTGTGTTTTTGCCTCTTGCCATCTCATTCTCGGATCCTTAGATCTCTCCGTTCTTGGGTTTTAGTTGCCTTATTATAAGGGTTTGGAATGCAAAATTGAGTAACTTTGGAGAAGGATTTTTTTAATAGATACAAGGCATAAGCAAAGAATTGGAATTTGGAATCTCATAAAAGAGTGATTTGATTCTATGGGTTTTGCGATTCCTGACTTTTATTACACATCCCTTTGTGGGGGCAGCCCTCCACTCAATTTTTTTGTACAAATATTTTTTTATGTAGATTATAATATATTCTAAATTTGCCCTATAAAAAAATCTCATACATTATTAAAAGGGTCCTCATTTATCAGTATCTAGCAGTATTGCCAATGGTTTCCATTGATTGACATATTGAATTGTTTCACCCTTGCTCCTGATGTGCACAATTGTGTTTCAAGTTTTTTTTTTAAAATTTTAAAACAAAAGATAAATAGTGTGTTCAGTGTTCTTGAATTTTGCAATCCACTAAAACACATATGCGTACATTTTCTACGAATTTTCCATTCCCATGAGAAATTGATGGACATCTAATACCTGTCATTTGCGTCACTCATGCTGAGAATATTGTTTCTATGGGGTGTTGTTGCTAAGTATTTTGTTATTTACAGGAATGCAAGCAAGTGGAGAAGGGCCACAACTTTTATGACTTCCAGTTCAATACAAGGCTTGTGAAATCAACAATTGTGCATTTCCAGGTAGAGACACTCAACTGGTTTTGAAGCCTTTAGTTTTATCTGTGGAATATAGTTTTGGTGTTAAAAGTACATCTCTTGATTTTGAAGTCAAAATTGATAGAATTTCCATTTTTAGGATTTAATGGGAGAGTTGAGACTTGAGAGATGGATTTTTTATGTCGTCTTAGAAGATAACCTTTCATGTAGCTTATTTTATGTTGACATTTTGATGCTCTCTTTTTACGTACTTTGTCGATGCATATTGACTGGCCTTCATCAGTAATTTAACTGATGTGTAATTAAGCTAAAGATGCACCAATTTTATCATATACACCAATAATATCAGATACAAATGGGCATTATTGTCTCTTTTGTGGCTGTTCAAACGAATCACATTTACTGATTAGGAATTGGAACAAAGTTTTTTTTTGGTTTTTCCGTTAATTAAGCATATTGAGTATCCTTCATCAGTAGTTTTAATCGACGTGTAAATAAGATAAAGATGCACCAATTTCATCATATGCATCAATAATATCAGACACAGATGGGCATTCGTCCCTTTTATATGGCTGTACAGAGGAATCACATTTATTGATTAGGAATTGGAACAACGTTTTTTTGGATTTTTCTGTTAGTTAATATTGGCTTTGTTATGCATATACCATTACAATTGTAGTTTTGCAGGTGCTATGCTTGTATTAATAATGCTTTATGGATTATTAAGTTTGTCATTCTAGCTCTGTGCTCCATATCCTTCTTCGGATCCATATTTGAAAGGTATGGACTCTGGAGTGCATATGTTGTCTTAATATTAGTGCTTAGTGGATATCATTCATTTGTGATGGTGACAAGTTTTGATCATCAACCACTAAAGTGTATCGGAAGATTTTAGGAAAGCATTCCCAAGGTCGGAATGTTTGAAATAAACATTGTCGAGTCTTCAAGCTGATGACTTTGCTAATAACTCAATTACTTCTCTCATAAAGAAGTCACTGTATATGCCAGGACTGTATCATTTGCAAAGGTTTGGCCTTTTCCCCAGCTTTCTTTAGTTGCTTATATAGCATGTAGGATCTGACTAGACTGCCACCTGAGATTTTTCTGGAAGAGTGCTATGGCACAAACCTTTGCTTTAATGTTAGCTTAGTTTTGGAATTAATTTTTGTTTAAGATATTTTCTTTGTGCCTGGTTCAAGTAACATTGAACTGGGTCTTGTATTCACTGAATCCTTTTTGTGCAGATTATATAGACTTGCCAAGTGTCGCCTGAATTGTATAAAATTAGATGATCTTTGTTTGGACGGTACAAACTTCAATATATGGAGTTGATCTCCAGACAGCTGAATATTGTATATGTTAAGTTATGGAGTTGAAGAACTATGGTGAGGATTTAACTTGGCTTCTCTGAGATATGCTGTTAGTGGTGTAGATGTGCCTTCCAAACCCCCTTTGTTAGATATTCTCTGTTTTAGCATGTATTTTAGCTTTGTATTTGATGCTTTTTTCCTTTCTTTTCAGCAAATTTCTGAATTCTTATTCTGAATAACATATTTTCGACATCGGACAGATGCCAATGACGTGTTTTTTGTTAGTAGTGTTTGTGGGTGTTTCTCTTGCTACTATGTGATGTTTGATCTAAGTGGGCTATAAGCTATTGCCTCATTACCCAAAAACATCTATCATCGTTCTCAATGGTATCACTCTTATTACTTGTTGTAGTGAACATAATGTGGTGCCAATAATTCAACGTGCTGCCTTCTAAGACAAACCATAAGTTTTAGAGTTGTTCTGGACATTTGTGTTGTTCTGCAAGTTACGTGGGCAAACAACTGGGGGGTCGTCAAATACATTAACAATTAGGTTGTTTGTGTAGCTGTTTGATTTTTATTTGTCTTTATATTTGTCCTGCTGCTTAATGAATTCAGCTTTTCTTGGTGCAACTTAAATTAGACTTGAAAACCCGAAAATGAAAAATCCCCTTTTGTTTCCAGATTTGCATCCTTGCAGGAAAACTGCCTCATTGTGCTTGTTCTGAATAACCTAGTTATTGATTTCTTTATACTTACTCATTCACTTGTTGATTTGATTTATTTTTTCTTACCAACTATTGCCATTGATTCAAAACTGATATATTGCTGCACCATGAAGTTCTAGTTTAATTTGTATTTTTATTGTTAGCTGTTCAATTTGTCTTTTAACTTAACCCCTGTAGCATGTGGGAATGCTACTTATCTCTATTTCAGCCTTAGAAGCAGGGTGGCAATTATAACTGAGCAGCTGGCGCAATAAGGAAACATTGTTCTTATGGTATGATAGGGAAACATCTGAACATTTAAGAGACCTATAATAGATATTTTGTAGTTAAAATTGTTGTCTTTGTCATTGGGGCCTAATTAGAACAATCATTTTATATGTTTGGCTTGTGTATAATTTGATACATTCGAATGCATACTTACATTTGCAGCAACATAAATTGTTATATAGAATTTCCCCCCATGAGTATTCTGCTAGGCTCTTATATATCTCTCCTGACTTAACAGTGTACATGTATTGTTGTCATTATATATTGGTTTTGGTTGTGGCCCTCCTGTGTTACCCTCTGGGAATGATCTAATACCAATTTTTTCATCTTATTAATGTGTTTGTGTTTTTGTAGTCGTAGTCATAATACAGTTGATTGGGATGGGATAAGTGTAGCGTTCATATCGTTTTGTTGTGGTTGATGAACAGTGGAATGGGAGATGTAAACAGTATGTGGTGTATTTCATTTTGTTTTTGCATTTGTCTGTATTTAGGGGATGAAGTCAAGGGTGGTCCAATTTTTGTAGAATTTGCACACAGAAACCATCTTGCTTCCCAAGTATTTAGTGGTCACTGTTCAATTTTTTCGTTGCGGGAAATCTCAACTAGGTAGTGTTACTTGCTTCTTAGGTTTATAAAAAAAAAACAGTTCCACATTTTTGTACGATTTCACATTCTAAGTTTTAACTTGTACTTGTAGTACCAAACAGACAAGGTTTCGTTGCTGGCTTATGGTTTAGCTTGTGTCCAAGGATGAAATGTGTCGAAACGTCCGAAACAATTTATGTCACACAAATTGTGTCACAGAATTCAGTCTTTGGCATTGTCAATGAACATTAACTGCCAGCTCACAGAGCCAATTCTTACAATGTTGGCCATCTATAGTTTTGTTTTCTTAAACTTTCAGTAGCAAGTCGGAGAATGAATGAGGGATGTACTGACGCGTTCACTTGTTAAAGCTTTAAATGCATGAGAATAAATTGCTCCAATAATGTTTTCTATACAAGTCATATTTTGTTTCTCTGCTGGTCATTAAGATTCATGGGTGTCAGTGCTGGTAGTTTTTTTTGATTTTTTTGCTTTAATTTTAATGCCTTGGACTTTGTTTTCAGTCTCCCAGTTAAGTAAAACATACCTGAGCTCATGGGCAGCCAGACTTCATATTTTTCTGTGTGATCTATTTTTTATTTAATTAATTCAAATTTTGTTTTTGCATTGTTTCTAAACTGACTTTTATGTACTTTTATATGGAGTGGGTCTTTCTTCTTGTACTTGATGCCCTAATTGGTCCACTTGTAATTATTTCTGGGTTGGGTGGTGCCGTGGTGGTCCATTTTCTGTTCTAAGTTGATGCAGCAGGCATCGTGAAACTTCCGACCAACAATATCCAGTATAATACAACTAGCAAGGCAAATGGGCTTTACTGTGCTAAACTAGCTTGTGTCGAAGAATGCCGTTTTGGCATGTACATCAAGTTGTATGGCTGATTCTTGTTTAGGCTTGTGTAATGGCCTACTCCAAGAAAGAGCACACCCTTTTGCAAATTTAAGGCATGTAATAAATCAGTTGACATTGTCGTTGCATATCTTGTGGGGTTTAATTTTTTGGTGAATAGGTTATCAGTTTGTTGAAGGTGAGAAACAAATAGAGGATGATGAATGTCACTTTGTCGTAAGTTGTCCCATGCTCAGTTTGATGGATAAACTGGTGTCATAACCTTTCCCCTTGGGATTTTTCAGTTCTCCACTATTGAGTTCACGCAGTTCAAGCTTCCCCTCACGTTCCATGTGCAAATTTTATGTGGTTTATTAAAGAGAGATTAAATTAGCTCTGACTGTGAGCCTTTCAGTATCTTGTGTCAAAAGAAGAGAGAGAGAGAGAGAGAGAAGAGATAAAATAAATGCATGGAATACATAATACAATGACAACTGATGTATATAATGTGACGGAGTGTTTTTTTTCCTATAATCTTTCTGGCAAATGATGTCTAGTGAACACAGTATGTTCATCAACTTGAATACTTGCTGATGGACCATGAAGTTCGTCAGGGTTTGAGGCTTTGTTTAAATGAGATATTGGAAAGCTTTTCCTTGGATATTATGTTTTGAGATTTCCTCAATACTTTCAATGACCAGGGTTGCATCCATTCTTATTTTTTGATAAATGATAATTACGTCATTAAACATTAATAGCATGATTTGTTTAATGGTAGAATGCTGTCACTAATGTGCCTATCAACTGGATTTGTTCTATGCTTTCAGCTGAGGAATCTCCTATCGGCAACATCGAAACATGACGTGTACCTCATGCAAAACTACTCAGTAATGCACTGGTCCTCACTTATGAGGAGGGGCAAAGAAGTACTCAACGTTGCTAAAGCAATTGTTCCCACCTCGGTAAATAGAATCTCATCTTCTATTGTTGTTGTTTGCTAAAATGGATTTGCAAATTTTGCAACATTCAATAATTGACTTGGTTTCTAGTTTCTACCGCAGAAATACCCTGGATCTTTGGCTCAGCCACTCTCGAGGGTGCAGATAAGCACCATGGCCGTTAAGGACAATCTAATGGTAGCGGGTGGTTTTCAAGGGGAGCTCATCTGCAAGGTACAATGAAGGGAAGAAAAATAACAAACCTCTAGTTTTGGTAGTCTGTATGTTGATGTTTAATCTCCATCTCTCACCTGTAATTTACTTGGCAGAATTTAGATGAGCCTGGAGTTGCTTTTTGCACAAAAATAACCACAGAAGAAAATGCTATAACTAATGCGGTGGACATTTGCCATGATCCCAAGTATGTTTGATTTTTAAATGCAGACCAGAAATATCCAATGGTTATTTTTGTGCTCTTTCTGCAGCATGGTTGAAGTGATTGTTCTGTCATTTTTTTCAGTGGCTCCCCGAGAGTTATGACCGCCAACAATGATGCTCAAGTCAGAGTTTTTGATACTCTGAATTTCACTTGTCTTAACCGCTTCACATTCCCTTGGTCTGTAAACGTGAGTAGCCATTGCAGAACTGTTGGTTGTCCAATATTTTGTCTGCTGCTATGTTTCTCAGATTTCTAATCTTTGTATTTTATTTTCGGTTGCTTGCAGAACTCATCTGTTAGTCCTGACGGGAAATTACTTGCTGTCCTTGGTGACAGTGCAGAATGCTTGATTGCTGATTCACAATCTGGGAAGGTTTGTAATTTCTACCTTCTGTCACTGATATAGCTCATTGGTTTAGAACTTCGTTTGATACTTAAAGTTTGAACGCTGCTGCAGGTCCTAAACAATCTCAAGGGGCACCTGGACTATTCATTTGCTTCAGCTTGGCACCCAGATGGGCGACTTTTGGCAACTGGGAATCAGGATACAACTTGCAGATTGTGGGACATAAGGAACCTATCTGAATCCGTGGCCATACTTAAGGGAAGGATGGGCGCTATTAGAGCCATAAGGTTTACATCAGATGGCCGGTTCATGGCGATGGCTGAGCCAGCTGATTTCATTCATATATTTGACGCCAAGTCTGACTATGCCGTGGGGCAAGAGATTGATCTGTTCGGGGAAATTGCTGGAATCTGCTTCAGCCCTGATACGGAAGCTCTCTTTGTTGGAGTTGCAGATCGGACCTATGGTAGCTTATTGGAGTTCAACCGGAGACGTTATAATCAGTATCTGGAATCCATGTTCTAGCATAGTGCAGCATTAGATGTTGAATGCACTTGCCCCTGGTGTAGCGTGTCCAGTTGCAGCAGGGCAAAAAGCTGTGTATAATTTGCAAGGGTAAAGTTGGATACCATCTCTCTCCTTCCAGAATCAGAGTGCAGCGGTAGAGCAGGTCTTAGGGGTTGCAGCTGCTGATGCTCATAATAGAGGGAAGTTTTTTTTTTTTTTTTTCTTTCTTACAAAGCAGAAATGGAAAATTTTTGAAAATGCGAGGGTTTTTGCGGTTGTCTTGTACATTCAAAACTATGAACGGTTAATTTGTTATTCAATTATACCTTGTGCGGATTTGTATTTCTTCTTCTTCAACTACTACTACTACTACTACTAGTGTGTACATGCAAATACAGTCAAATAAAAAAGTTAGAAAAACAGTTGGAAGTAGACCCAGTCACCTTACATTTGTAGTTTTCTCCAGGAAAAGACCCCTCGGGGCTAAAACCTATCCCTCATGAGTGAGAGAGCAATTTGAAAAAGTATTAATAGAAGAGTTGTGTGCAAAAACTGGATTATTAATTGAAAATAATATGGGGATTTAATTAAATAGATTGGAAGTAGATTTCATATCGAAATTGACAACTAATCTAAATGATCCTAGGAGTCGAAAAGAGCAGTGATATGTAGGTAGGTGCCTGCCACAATTATAGGGTGATGAAAATAATATTCTTAGGAACCAAAAGTAGAATTTGGAAGAAAATTTTCCTGAATGCTGAAGATCATCTTGTTAAATTAATCAAACCAGGAGAGAGAGAATTCAGAATTCACGTGGTGGAAGAAAATTCAGCGTTGCCTATATTGGAATCATTCTAATTAAGAAAATTCAATCTCTCATTTATATTAAGTCTGGATATATAACCTTTTTTCATGTCTATATTGCTTGAATGTTTTTACAAGTCTTCTTTCCCATGTGATAAATGGACAGTCTCCCTTACACCTTGTTCCGGTGATTTTCCCAAATACAAAATTAATAGTTTCAATCCTGAGAATCACTTATTTAGGTTTGCTTTTTTCTTTTTAATTTTCAATTATATTGAGACATGGATGGATATGGATTTGTTGACAGTCTCTTTTTCGAATTCAGCCTCATGACTTGGACTAAACCCATGAACCTCTTGCGGCCCAGTGTGGCATCTTGATGTGCCGGTAGTTAGAGAGTACAACTCCTAACTTTCTTCTCAGTTCCCATTTTCATAGCTTGGTTGGGACAATTTCTTCAAGTTGAGCCTTTTTTTTACAGTTGTAAGTAAATCTCTAAGCATTGATTAATTTATTAAATCATGGCTCCTATCTATTTGTTGTTTATGTCATAGAAGATTGAGAAGATCTTGCTTACTAATACGCAGCGGCCATTGATTGATTTAAACCACAGTAGGACATAGTCAAAGTCATGCAATGGCTTTAAGTGTAATGACTCAGGTTGTGTAGTTAAAGCCTGAGGGGCCTTGAAATATCTTCGTCTAGAGTGTAGTTAATGACTTATATAGAGTTGACCCATCTTTATGGTATAAAGAATCTTTCTCTGAGGGTGGGTTGGCTGCATTAGTTGTTGGTTATGTAGTGCAAGATTTATGGCACCAGACTACTGTCGGTGGAGTGCCATCTGCATGGTTCCAAAGACTTTAGTACAGTGTGGGGTTGGGAAACACATTCATGGGCAGTGGCAAAAGGCATACATAGAACAGAGGAGTAGCCCAAAAGGGATACAAATTAGCTGTAAAATATTAGTTTGATATTTGACAATTTTTTTTGGGGTCTAATAATAAGAGATTTATCCCTAGTGTATTCCCCACTCCTGATAAACAAGACTTACTTTTGATCACATCAAGGATGATTTCCCAGATTTTTTTAAAAGATTGAATCTTTTCTCAATCTCACTTTGGGCAAAAGGCAATAAGAAATATTCGGAGGGATTTATCAAGATTTTGAGGAGTCGCGTAAAAATATATAGGAAACCTAACGATGAAAAATATAATTTTAGGAGCTTTGAGAGGTCACATCGCTTGGCCACAATGGAGTTCCGTCCCTGTATATTCTGTTCTTTACTAGTAGTATCATAAACTTTATTTTTTCTGATTTGTACCACAAAGCAAGTAAGGAAGCCCCCAACCCACCTCCAGAAAAATCCTTGTCCGTCATCACATGGCCTAGTCCACCAAGTCTTCAACCATCTTGAGAATATATTTATGCATTGAAGTCCCACCACACCTCCAGAGAAATCCCGTAGCTTGAAAGATTAGATTGGATTCTCATGTGCGATGTCGTGTAAAAGCTAAATTTGTGATCCCCCACGAAATCAATTGACGTATCTCACATAAAATGACATGAAAACTGCTTATGAAAGTGACAAGATCATTTGCCTCATCAAATAATTCTGTGTACCTGCTCTGGTAATAATCTGGGTTTGGGAGAAATCTATGGTACCCAGAAAAGATTTCAATATCATACAAACACTTATACATTTTTAGGGTTTTTTGTATTAAGTCTTGGGTCCATTTACAACTTTCTAAATATTAAGATGATCCCAAATACCTCCAAAAGTGGTAATTAGGGTTAATTTTCTTCATTACTTCTGGTCTTTTAGTAGCAAAACTAACCTATGTGGGAAGGTTGGTCGGGTCAAGTTAGTTTAGAATGAAAAAGTTGGGTCTTGCAGATTGGAAAGTGAAAAGGAGGGTTACTAAAGGAATCTAGGCTTGAGTAAGAAAGACCAACTATGCGTAATAAGGAGCTACTTAAGGAACGTTCCACATTCAGTCACCAGTAACCAATTCAATCATCTATAAACTCTCCTATGCTTACACCAAGTTTTCATTGCATAAAAGGAACCACTCCCAACAGTTGAGTATTGTCACCTTTTTAAGATTTTTGGCTTTTAGCCTAATAAATTTTTTAAGTTTGATTAACCTTAACTTAGTGAACGCATATAGTTCATGCGATTCTTCATCCTATGGAGTCAATTAGGGAGGAATAAACAAGTAGCAGAATAGAATCATTTTAAGGAAAGGGAGTGAATTCAAAATAAGGACTTTTAGAGGGCAGTTTGGCAAGTCTTGATGATTTTAGGTTTGTTCAATACTGTATGAAAAACCCAAGTCATTTTCCATGCCAACTGTGTTTGTGTTGTTTCTTGCAAGAATGAATCATTTCCCTTTGGTATAGTTTCGTGCATATACAATTGAATAATATTAACAATATCACGTGGTGTAACAGTTCACCAATAAGTGAACAAATTGTAAAGTGAGTCCCACAAAACTCAATAACAACTCATCCATGTAATATATATAACTATCTCTACGTACAATAGTATAGTCCATTTTATTAACTTTTTAGCTTTTATATTGAATAGTTACACCATATGATGGTAATATAAATGTGACATTGAATATTTATTGAGAAAGAATATTGAAGAAGAACACGAAATTTCCACGCAAGATGAGAGAGTGATATTTGGAAGAGTCGTTTCTTTAAAGAGTAATGTTAGATAGATTTAAAAATTAAACTTAAAAATTAGACTTGATAATTTTAACTATTGAATAGTTAGTAAATCTCAATAAATACCGAGACTTACAATAAAATCAATGGTTGTAATTATCATGTATAATTTTTAAGTTTACGTAACATTGATCTTCCTTAAAATTAGGGTTTCTAACTTTTATATTGAACAATCACACTATATGTTACTGTAAATGTGGGACAGCCGTTACATTGAATATTTATCAAGAAAAGAGCACGAAATTTCAAAGCAGGGATGGGAGAGTGATATCTGGAAGAGTCGTTTCCTTAAAATTAGGGTTTTGACTGTTGGGGGTACGAAAAGGCATGTGATTGACCCCACTAGTACACCACTCAAGGCAAAGGAAAGGTCGAAGAAGCTGCTTGTGCGTGTACGCCGTGTTTGCCCCATCACCCAAATTGTGGGCCAAAGGTCAGTAGACTTTCACTACACTTTTACTTGCTTGCTTGGTTTCTTAACTTGTCGGAGGGGTGATGGAGGTGGACCAATTGAGGATGTTTTGGAATTTATTTAATTAATACTATAATTTTAAATTTATTTATTAAATTATAATTATTTTTACTAAAGCGTGTTTCGACAATACGTTTTCTACGGGGAGAAATAAGTTAGTGTACGAGTGATTTCTTGTAATGAATTGAAATAACGATGCGCGGAACGATCTTGAATGATGAACTTAAAACAAAAGATTAATCAGGTGTGTAACTGACTAATCATTTCCGACGCTCCCGGGAACAATGCCCTGCTCAACGAGGACATCGACTATTTTCTTGCCATCAGTGGTGGACTGGTACAGTGTCTCCTCAAAAAAAGCACCTGAGATGTAGCTGCCAAGTCCAGGAGGTAGTTAGTATCTATAGGAAAAGATATGCAGAGTATTAAAGCAAAGTATGATACATAACAATGTCTAGCCAGCAAAACAGTGTTTGCCAAGTTAGTAAGCATTGGAGTCATGGGCACAATGTATTTTTTATTTTTAGATTGCGTACCCTAATTCAGCTTTGTGAGAGATATTTATACTTAGATTTGTAATGATGGTACTGCCTTTGAGTTGCATCTCAGAATTTAATGGTCTGCATTCATATCCTAATATCATGAGTGTCATCCTGTCAAATTATCTAATAACTAGTCTCCTTGTGAAAGTAAATCTTTGCCCGGGAATCGCCGAGCATTCATGACCCATCTCTCAGTTATTTAATACCCTTTTTAGGTGTTTGACACTTACGCCCGAGTGTTTATTATTTGGAAATAAGTACTCTCGGAGTTTATAGAGGATTTCAAGTGGATGTAATAATCACTAATGCCTTGTAATGATGACTGTTCTCACATTTTTCAAGAATCTGGACTCTCATTATTGGCTCTACTACAGCCACTCAAGAGCCATTAATGGGCTATTAGATCCTTTTTAATACTAAGCTCCGGGTTCGTACTCAGCCCTCCAAGTCATAACTCTACAGTGTCTTTCCTAGGCGAGCTTTGCATTCCTTAACAACTACAACTGTTCACGTGTACATTTATCATTGTCAAACCACCTAAAGTCCCGTTAGTTACAAATAACAATAGAGTGATAATTAATTCTCAAAAATTATTGGTCCTCGTTGATCATTTTGAGTAAAACGATTGCATGCGACTGCAGTTATGATATTTAGTAAAATATGTTTAAAATATTTATATATCCCTTGTGTGTGTTCATAAAAAAAAAATCTAAAAGTTAAGCTTATAAAATGGGATGTGATACAATGCTAGAGTTATATACAAAGATCTTTTAGTCCTGTAAGTTTTGTATTGTTTTTTGTTTTTGGGTGAGTTTAAGATTTGTATTGTTTGTTAAAAACTTATGGATTGGTTTCCTATAAAGTTGTGTATTTTTA